CTTGTGAGTAAGTTACGAGATAGCGTTTCTTTAGTGCAACTTTCTCATAATCTGATCACTTAATCAAAGGAGTTTGCCGGAAATTTGTACAAAAATGTCATGCGCAGAACAATAATTCAACACTTCACCAAAGCCATATATAACATGAAACAAATTAATAAAAACAACGATAAAAAAAAAACAGAAATCTTTAGCCTGCCCCAATGGTTGCAATGATGTTCTTTAGACATAATCCTCTGTCTTGGTTTGTTCTGTAGCTGCAATACCAAAAAAAAAATATAGATTATATATGCATTGATTAGCAATTTATTAATAAACTATATTAGGTTCATGTTGAGCACATCCTGCTTTGCATAATGAGATACATAAATCTATAGAAATTAGTTAATCAATTTACCATGTCCAATACACTTTTTTATTTTGTGCCTCAGGTAAAGATAGTATAGAACAAAGATGATCGCAATGGTAACCACAATAGCTACGATTATGATTCCGACAAGAGCTGACGATCCTACTTTCTTGCTCTTACGCTTTTTCTTCTTCTTCGAATCTACAAATTTGATAAAGTTTTGTATTATCATATCATTGTTAATGTAATAATAAAGATTTTACTATAATTTTCTTTAGTTTAAAAACTTTTTTTACTCTTGGTTGAACTGCTCTTAGATTTTTTATTCACAACCACTTTTGATCCAGCGACCAGGTCTTGAAGACTTCGAGCTTTTGCTAGATCTTCAACATCAATCATCGAGGATCCTTGATCACTCGTAGTCGTAGCCATCAAATATGATTCATAGTCTTGTCTAAACACAGAGAGAAAGCAAAACAATATGTTAATTTAAGTAGTTGCAGCCATATGAAACAAGTGAAAATTAGGGTTTTGCGGTTTTCTTCTTACTTTGAGACAGCATCTCTTGTGGAAAGAGAATAAACGGAAGTCACAGAGAGAGAAACGAGCACGAGGAGGACGATGAGAAGAAGATTAATGGAAGCCATTCAAGTCGTTGCACTTGTGTTTTTTTGCCAATGTAGAAAATATACGAAGAAATACGAAAGAAGGTTTTGATATAATATGTAGTGATCTCTCTATTTACATAGTTGCCTCTAGTTTACTAATTTTATTAATCACCTTGTAATTATATACTCGGATAATTCGATGTGCTTCGTGGTCCGATCGGTAGGCTGTCTGCGTTTGAATAGGAACAATAGAGAAAAGCTTCTCTAGTATAAAAATGTAACATACAAGGAAGGGAAAATTTGCCAAAAGTACAATAAGAAATTATAATTTGAAAACTAACAAAAAAATTCAAATCCAATGGCCTACAATTTGCCACATACCCCATTTTTTCTAATGTTTTAATTTTTTTTTGGTTATTCACCAAAAAACCCACTAAAGAAATTATATTTTAACTATCAAGTAGTAAACAGCTCAAGCATTTTCTCTGAAAAATTGCTTGTAATGTGCTCCCTGTTAAAGGCAATCTACTCCAAAGAAATATAACCATCCCCGATAGTTTGTGCAAGAAGTGTGGTCGCTATGAGGATGAAATTCATCTACTCTTAACTTGCCCGTTTGCAGCAAAAGTCTGGGCACAAGCCCCGGTTCTGTTCAAGCCTCAGGCAGCCGCCATTACTTCTCCAAAGAAGCTACTCGAGGATCTCTTACGCTTAGTCAATCTTCCTCCTACGGGCATAGGATCCCCTCTTTTGTATCCTTAGTTAATGTGGAATCTTTGGAAAGCACGAAACCAGCTTATATTTGAGGATCGTTGTCTCTCAGAAGACGATCTAGTTGTCAAAAATCTATTCGAGACGCCAGAGAATGGCAGCAAGCTCAGCCTCAATTATCAAAACAACCAAAACCTGCGATTACGAACCGAGCCCAAGTAACGCTCCCTGAAGTTCCTAATGGTTTTGTAGTCGCAGCTTGGAATGGGACTTCGATGGAATGTGGCATCGGCTGGTCTTTCACAGACACTAACCTCAACTCTCTGTTTCAGAGCTCTGCTTCTAGGTCTCACGTTGGTTCAGCCTTGATAGCAGAGACCTATACCATGAAACGAGCTTTAGAAGAAGCTTCGGCTGCAGGATTAACAAAGGTGAATATGTTTGCGAATTCACAAGTTCTCATCTCCCTAATCAATTCGAATGGATCCACCACCGAGTTAAAGGGACTCCTTCATGATATTAGCTACCTAAGACTCTCTTTCGAAGCTATTTCTTTTAATTACATCTCGCGTTTAAACAATGTTGTAGTTGATTTCTTGGCAAATGCAGCTTTATTTTCATCCTCTGTAACCTCCTATGTTGGAGAGTAACTTTCGTATGATTTATAAAATCGTAGTTTGAAAAAAAAAAAAAAAACTATCAAGTAGTAAACATGTTTCCATGAAAAACAAGAACTTTCAAATTTTGACAATAATACAATTAATTCATATCTGTTTCCAACTATTTCCACAATTCCAAGGCATAATGAACAAAATGGTGAACATGATTT